CACTCCGTCGCGTGTTTTGGGACACAAAACTTCCTATGAGATGCTTTATGGGAAATTGTCTGATTATTCTCGATTGCGTGTTTTTGGGTGTTTATGCTATGTTTATAATCGCGATCGACATGGGGACAAATTTGCTAGTCGCAGTCGTCAGTGTGTATTTGTGGATATCCCCTTGGGCAAAAAAGATGGCGTGTTTATGATTTGGATCGTGATAGTTTTTTTGTTTCCCGAGACATTGAGTTTGTCGAGACGTAATTTCCTTATGGGACATCTTCCTCTGCTCCTTCGCCCACTTTGTCACCTTCTGTTGTGACTTGGCCTCCTACTTTGGACGAGGATGGTGATCATACATTGGTTGTGCCTCTTGCTGTTGTGACTGACCCGCCTGTTACCTCTGGCTCTTCCGATGACAGGGGGGATCTTCGGTTTCAATTCCCACTGAGTCTACCGAACTGTTGGGTCGTGGTCATCGCACTCGCCACACCTCGACTCGTCTTCGTGGTTTTGTTACTGCAACTGTCTGTCCCCCTAGTCCCTCTGCTTCCCAGCCTGCTTCGTCATCCTCCTCAGGTACTTTTTATCCTATCGCACATTATGTTAATTGTGATTCTTTCTCATCAGCCCATAAGTCATTTTTAGCAGCTCTCGCTTCCGAGGTTGAGCCTCGAACCTTTGCTGAGGCAGCTTCTGATAGTCGATGGCGTACGGCTATGCAGAATGAAGTCCAGGCTCTCGAAAATAATGGTACTTGGGAAGTGGTTTCCCTTCATCCCGGGAAACGTGCTATTGGTTGTAAGTGGATTTACAAAATTAAATACCGATCTGATGGTTCTGTTGAGCGCTACAAAGCGCGACTTGTGATTTTAGGTAACAATCAGGTCGAAGGCATTGATTATCATGAGACTTTTGCTCCTGTTGCCAAAATGGTTACCGTGAGGACCTTCTTAGCGGTTGCAGCAGCTCGGCAATGGGAAGTTCATCAGATGGATGTTCACAATGCCTTCCTTCATGGTGATTTAGCTGAGGAGGTCTACATGAAGCTTCCCCCTGGGTTTCGTTCTGGTGATGATGGACGGGTGTGTCGCTTGCGTCGCTCTTTGTATGGTTTGAAGCAGGCTCCACGTTTCTGGTTTGCGAAACTAGCGACTTCTCTCCGTCAGTATGGTTTTTCTCAGTCGCACTCTGATTACTCTTTGTTTACCTTGCATCGTGGTTCTGTGCAGTTGCAAGTGTTGGTAAATGTTGATGATCTTATTGTCTCTGGTAATGATCCTACGTCCATTGTGGCCTTTAAGAGTTACTTGAGTCGCTGCTTTCACATGAAGGATTTGGGCCTCTTGAAGTACTTTTTTGGGCATTGAGGTTGCTCATAACACATTTGGCATTTTTCTATGTCAGTGGAAATATGCTTTGGACATCATTTCTGAAGTTGGCTTATTGGATGCCAAGCCAACTGCATTTCCGTTGGAACAGAATCATCGTCTTCTTGATGATACTAGTCCTCTCCTATACGATTCGGAGGCCTATCGGCGCTTGGTTGGTCGACTGATTTATTTGGCGGTTACGCGTCCTGAGTTGTCTTACTCTGTGTATGTTTTTGCTGAATTTATGCATCAACCTCGGCAGGCGCATTGGGAGGCTGCTTTGCGTGTTGTTCGATACTTAAAGGGATCTCCTGGACAAGGCATTGTGCTTCGTTCTGACTCGGATCTTCAACTCTCTGGATGGTGTGATTCTGACTGGGCGACATGTCCCCTTACTCGTCGTTCCCTCAGTGGCTGGTTTGTTCAATTAGGCAAGTCTCCTATTTCTTGTCGTACAAAGAAACAACATACCGTCGCACGTTCTTCTGCTGAAGCTGAGTATCGGGCTATGGCTACAGTCATTTGTGAACTTAAATGGTTGAAAGGGTTACTACACAGTCTTGGTGTGTCTCATTCACAGCCTGTGCGTCTTTATTGTGATAGTCAGGCGGCTTTACATATTGCTGCGAATCCTATTTTTCATGAACGAACTAAGCATATTGAGGTCGACTGCCACTTCGTTCGTGATGCACTTGGTCAAGGCCTTGCTTCTACATCTCACGTTTCTACTCATTCTCAGTTGGCTGATCATTTTACCAAGGCACTTGGCAAGCGCAAGTTCGATTTCTTCCTTAGCAAGTTGAGCATTCGAAATCCCCATGCTCCAACTTGAGGGGGGGGAGGGGGTGTTGATGTAATATTATATTAGTGTGTTTTCTCTTTTGTACCCTTGGTTAGTTAGTTTCTTGTATAGCAAGTATATGTACTCTTGTAACCCTAATTGGTTTTATATATTAATGTGAGCGCCGTATACGAGATCATCAGATTGATGTCTCGCTCAATATCTTTCTCCTTCTTCCAGCTT